GGGACCGTGTGGGGACCCCCACCAGGCCCCATCCCCTGCCTGCTCCCCCAGTTCCCCTGAACACCACCCAACCCCCTCCTGACCCCTGAGCTCACTGGCTGCAGCAGCAGCAGCCATCAGGGCTTCTGGAGGTTCATGACAGAACCCACCCCCCATGCAGCATGGGGCAGTAGGGGGCAGCAGGGATCCTCCCCAACCTGGCAGGAGCCAGTGAGTTCAGGGCTTCTTCTTTTTTTAAGAGCCAAGAGCTGGGGTGGGCAGGGCAGCTATGGGGGGAAGGGGTCTGGGAGAGAGAGTGGGGGTCAGAGGACTCATGGCAAAGCCCCCCCATGCAGCCTGGGGCATTGGGGGGCAGTGGGGATCACCCCCTGACACCTGGCAGCAGCCGGTGGGTGTCAGGCTTTTTTTTTTATAGAGCTGAGAGGCCGGGTCCAGGCAGGGCTGGGAGAGTGGGCAGGAGATGGGGCCTGTCCAATTCAGAGATCTGGCCCATTTGGTAGTGGCCGAATCAATTCGGGACAGTGATTCAAATCACTGAATCAAATCACTGTCCCTTGAATTGGCTGAATCTGAATCCAAAGTGAATACTAGCCACTTTGCACAGGCCTAGCACCCATGGTGGCTAGGAGGGTGTTGCTGGGAAGGTGGTCTATGTTTTTAAGTTTTCATAGGAAGTCTGTAGTGTCTTGGACAAAAATCACTTTTTGGGTAACAAACGGTTTAAGGATTGATTCCACAAAACCCACTGACTCTCACCCACTGATTCTCTGACCCACTGACTCCTGAATTTACATTTTTACTGATTGGCTTGCATGAAGACCAGCCTCTGGCTTCTTTACTAAATGTTCCATCCAGGAAGAGCACACACCAACTGCAGATGCTTCCTTCAGCCTGACCAAGGGTTTTTAAGCCTGAAAGCTTACTAGAAAAATGTTTCCAGCTATTTAGTTTGTCTAATAAAAAATATCAGATTTATTCAAAGACCCTTGTCTGCCGTGTGTGTGTACATTTGGCCATAGTGGGAGCAGGGAGAAGAGGTGGGCATGTGCCCCCCAGCCCAGCAGGGTCCACCCAGCCTCCCCTGCCATCACTAGGAGGGGAAGGGACCCCACCCCCCACAAAGCCCAGCTCCCATGGGGGGAAGGGGTCTCCAATTTTGTGCTTTCCCAGGGCCCCAGTACACCTTAATCCACCTCTGCACTTGCACACCCCCCCCACACCACTGATGCTGCCTTCGTGTCTGGAGGCCCCAAAGCTATGACTTGCACGGGGCCCCAAAAAATTGTGGACCAGCCCTGGCTGCAGCTCTACACCACCTACATCTTACCCTTCAGTGTGAGGGATATGGATGCAGTGGAAGAGCATGGACTGGACTTCTCTGTTCCCCAGCTATTCCCCACTACCGGAAAGACCCTTGGGAATATGGGAAGCTGGATATTAATTATGCTAGTGGCCAAATTAGTTTCAAGCCCAGGCAGGCCCAGATCAGGTACAGCTTTGAGTCTGAGCTGCTGTTTCTCCCAGGTAGCTAGGCATGAAATAGCTACAGGGGACTCAATGGTGCACAGGAAAAAAAACAGTTGGCCAATCATTCCTGTTGCCTGCTGGCCTGTCCATGGCTCATGTGAACATCAGCCCAGCCTCAGGGTGGCAACTGCTCACCAAAGCTAATATCACAATGAGCATAAGTGGGCAGCTTCTGTCAGCATGGAGCCCCTGACGTGCATGGGCCATGGACACCAAATTAACCTTTCCAGCCCTTCAGGGAGTAGAGCTTAGATTCAGTCCAGGGGGAAGGTTTCTCCTTGACCACCACTGCTCTGGGACAGCCCAGGATAAGCAGCACTCAAATCCCAAAAGGCTGCTCTGTCAGGTGGACACAAAGCAGGACCCCTTGGCCACACTCCTGGCCTTGGTAGCAAGGCCATGGTGGAAAGCTGGCCCTACCTGCCCTGTGTTTGAAGAGTGGACTTTGCTTCTCTGGGACTGTTATTCCAGCAGGGGGCTCCCCTACCTTATACACCTGGGCAGCCTCTTCAATGGGGTAGACGGTGTGTGGCCGATGTTGCACGGACTCCCTGCAAACCACGCAGATGGCTTCCCCATCCTCCTCACAGAAGAGCTTGAGCCGTTCCTCGTGCTTTCCACACAGCGCCCCAACCTGCTCCTTGCCCGTCCTCAGCTGCAGCTGCTGGATGCTTTCCACAATGTTGGCCAGCTGCTTGTTTGGCCTGAAGCTGCCCTTATGAAATGCCTCCCGGCACTGAGGGCAGGTAAAGGGTCCATCTGCATGAAGCCCTTTCTCCTGGCAGTACTTGGCAATGCACACTTGGCAGAAATTGTGTCCGCAGTCTATGCTTACCGGGTCACTCATATACTCCAGACAGATAGAACAGACAGCCTCTTCGTGAAGCTTTTCCAGTGGATTTGCCAGGGCCATGGCAGCTGCTGTGCTGCAGTTCTAAGATAAGTTTCCCTTCCTCTGTGTCTGAGGAAACAATTGTTACTGATGAAGGTGGGACTATGCTAATATGATGAACAATGAGGGAGCAGTGGGGGAGCTGTTCCCAGCAGCTGCAACAAACAGCTGCACTTCATACATTACCAGTCAGGACTCACTCTGTCCCTGGTGCCACATCAGGATCAGAAGCCTACTTAGCCACAATACTAGAAGGGAGAGGTGTTTCCTGCCAAGACCACAGCATCACATTCTACAGCTTCAGGCCAGGGCTCAGGATGCCTCTATAGAACACAAAGAAGTATTTAGGAACGTTAGTCTGAAGCTTAGCAGAAGTCAGGATGGATTTGCACCTTATAGACTAAATCAGAGATGTATCGTGACTGCACAGTTGTGTGGTAAACAGGAGCTATATTTCTGTTTTCCCTTTTGGCTAGGAGCAAGCAAACTAGGGGGTATCCCGACCCCACAGCCTCTCGGACTGGGACTTGCACACAGGATGCCTGTCACAGATTTGGGGAGTATCTGAATCCCCAAGTTGGTAAGTCTGGGAGGGAAGATACTTGCCCAGGGGTAGAACCACACAGATTTGTATGACTGAGCTGTGCTAAGTCAAAATTAGAACTTGACTACTGGGCTTTGCCCAACTGAATCTGGAACTGATTTGGCTCTCAGATCAAAATATATATTTCTGCCATGAGCAATGCAATGGTGTTACCTCTCAGCTCCATGTTCTTGGGGAACCCTGACACAG